CTTCCAAGATTTTATTTAAATCCAACTTAGTTAACCTGTAGTGTAGTACTGATTGCAGGAGTAGAATTTAGTGATTCATCACTTACACATAACAGCCAGCGGTTATCACAAGTGGGCTCCTTAATGCCCATTAGCCATTTAGCCCATCCCCCCAACCACTTCCCATCCACCAATACTCAGTTTGTTCTCTATAGTTAGAAGTCTCTCAGGCTTTGCCTCCCTCGCTGTTTTTATCTTATTTTTCCTTACCTTCCCTTATGTTCATCTGTTTTGTTTCTTATATTCCACATGTGAGTGAAACCATATGTTTGTCTTTCTCTGACTGACTTATTTTACTTATTTCACTTAGGAACTAGTTCATCAACTACTTCCATCCATGTCTTTGCAAATGGCAAGATGTCATTTTTTCTGTAGTCTGAGTAATACTCCATTATATACATATACACCGATTCTTCATTATCCATTCATTGTTCAATGGCCATTTGGGCTCCTTCTATACTTTGGCTGTTGAGGCAATGCTGCTATAAACATCGGGGTGCATGTATCCTTTTGAGTTGGTATTTTTGTATTCTTTGGGTGAATACCTAGTACTGCAATTGCTGAATTGTAGGGCAGTTCTATTGTTAACTTTTTAAGAATGTTCATTTGAGAATGAGTGTGTGTATGTGATTGGGGGCAGGGGCAGAGAGAGAGGGGCGAGAGAGAGAATCCCAAGCAGGATCAATGCTGTCAGCGTGGAACCTGAGGCAGGGCTCAATCTCATGAACCATGAGATAAAGACCTTAGCTGAAATCAAGAGTTGAATGCTTAACTGAATGAGCCACCCAGGCGCTCCTATTTTAACTATTTGAGGACCCTCTATACTGTTTTCAAGAATGGCTGCAGCAGTTTGCATTTCCACCAACAATGCAAGAGGGTTCTTCTCTCTCTACACCTTTGCCAACACTCGTTGTTTCTTGTGCTCTGGCAACCATCAGTTTTGAACAGGGACTTTTTATTATTGTCCTTAAGATATTTCCATCTGAGACACAAAAGACAAAGGTGGGAGGTGTGGCCAAGGCCCACACTGGAACACCAGGTGCTTTTCCAAACCCAAGAGGCCTGTAATAGGGTATGTAACCTTTAGTACAAGACAGACATTGTCATCATCAGTTGTTCCCAGAAATATTCTAATTCTCCAAGCTTGTGAAATCAAGGGAAGCCTCTGCTTGACATAATCATAGAGCAGCCTGCGGCAGACAGATGTACCCTGCATGTGTCAGTCACATAATAGTCCCCAAATATGTGATAAATGGATGGAAGAAACACTATCGAACAGCCAGAAGAAAAGAGGAAGGAATGTTTATGTCCAGTGCAAATCCAGCAATCCACAGCAGTGGCTATTTTCACACTAGAGGCACCAACATAGAGGAAGTTTCCACAACCCCCTTGCATCACACAGTTTCAAAATCAGGCTGTCTTCCAAATAGCAATTAATCTGACACCTACCCATGTAAATTATTGACCGCTTGAGAGGAAAAGGTAATGGCAACAATGCTCAGAGGGCTCAGAGTCCATTTCCACCAAAGCTGCTATTTGGGTGCTGGCCCAATGGAGAGGTGATAGCCTAGAAGGCTAGTATTGAAAGAGATCTCATGTGCCTGCCAGGATGGTTACGGTAATGGTATCTACTTTAAAGATATGATTGAAGTCTTCTTGTTTGCCATTTTCAGGAATCACCTTTATGCCTGGAACCCTTCAGCTGACTGTCAAGGACATTTTCTATCAATCATACACATCTAAGTCCCAGTGCATGGTAGTCAATGAGGCTATGGTCCCACTTGTGGACCTTGTTGTGTCCAACTATGCCCCCTTGAAGACCAATCTCTTGGTATCAGATAAGAGCTATGACGGGTGGTTACATTTCAAGGAGTTGATTCACTGAATGGGCACTAAACACAAGATGCTGAAATAAAGAAAATGTCTCTTTTGGAAGATGAGATGATGTGTGAGACGTGTTAATGTAACTTGGGTGGTGTAAAAGGAGAGACAGGGAAGCTGGACAGCAATTTCTAATCCTGTATCCAGAGTACTCCCTTACACAAGATTTATGAACTGTCTTGTTACTTCTCAGTCTGAGTGGAAGGTCACATCTCCTGATTCATACCTAAGTATTCCTTCTGGGAGACAACCAATAAATAGCTGATAAAAATATGAAGGATCAGGAAGCATATTAAAGACAAGGAACACTCATGCTCACCAGTAAGTGGGAGAAATACTTATTAGAACAATGGGATGATGCCACATCCACCCTCAGGTAAGCCAAAAATTGAGTTTGATCGCTATAAATGTGGTCTCTAGATGGAGACCCTGAGCTTGTCTCATCCTGGAAATGCAGTTAGATCAGCACCAAATCATTCTCAACAGCTAGCAAAGAGATTTGAACATTAAGACAATAATCTGCATCACTTGAGCCACAGAACATGGCAGGTATGTGGTGTGGATAGGTGAACTGCTGGAGAGAAAAGCCGGGGAGGGGGGGAGCTCTTTGTGGAGAGAGAGGACAGAGAAAAGGAAAGGGGGAGAGTGCAGCCCATGGGGATGGTGCAAGAAAAGCACTCCCCTGAACGTAGCTGGAGAGAAAGAGAGAGAAAGTGAAAACACTTGCAGGGGACTGGACAAGAAATCTGTGAAACCACACGAAAAAATTTGGAAAGACCATGGATACCTGGAGATTAAAGAACATCCTACTATAGAATGAACGGGTTAACCAAGAAAATAAAGAGGAATTATAAAAGTACATGGAAGCCAATGAAAACGAAAACATGACAGCCCCAAACCTCTGGAATGCAAGAAAGGCAGTCATAAGAGCAAGTATGTAGCAATCCAGGCCTTCTTAAAGAAGGAAGAACAGTCTCAAATACACAATGTAACCTTACACCTAAAGGAGCTGGAGAAAGAAGAGCAAATAAAGCCCAAAACCAGCTGAAGAAGGGAAATAATAAATATTAGGGCAGAAATAAATGATATTGAAATTTTCAACAAAGTACAACCGATCCACTAATCCAGAAGAGGGTCCTTTGAAAGAATTAACAAAATAGATACACCCCTAGCCAGACTGATCAAAAAGAAAATGGAAAGGACCCAAATAAATGAAATCATGAATGAAAGAGGAGATATCACAACAACCACATAAATACAAACAATAAGAGGAGAATACTGTGAGCAATTATATGCCAACAAATTGGGCAATCTGGAAGAAATGGAAAAATTCCTAGAAACATAAAACTACCAAAACTGAAACAGGAAGAAAGAGAAAACCTGAACAGAACCATCACCAGGAAAGAAATTGAATCTGTAATCAAAAATCTCCCAACAAAGAGTCCAGGGCCAGATGGCTTTCCAGAGGAATTCTACCCAACATTTAAAGAAGGTGTTCCAAAAAATAGAAATGGAAGGAAAACTTTCAAACGAATTCTACAAGGCCAGCATTACCTTGATTCCAAAACTGGACAAAGACCCCACTTAAAAGGAGAACTACAAATCAGTTTCCCTGATGAACATGGTTGCAACAGTTCTCAACAAGATACTAGCCAACCAGATCCAAAAACACATTAAAATAATTATTCCCCACAATCAAGTGGGATTGATCCTGGGATGCAAGACTGGTTCAATATCCACAAATTAATCAATGTGATATCTGACATTAATAAAAGAAAGGATAAGAACCACATGGTCCTCTCAATAGAGGTTCCTGAAAGCATGTGACAAAATATGGCACCCCTTTTAAATAAAAACTTTCAAGAAAGCAGGGATAGAAGGATCATACCTCAAGACCATAAAGGTCACACTGCTAATATCATCTTCAATGGGGAAAAAATGAGAGCTTTCTCCCCTAAAGTCATGAACTCCACAAGGATGTCCATTCTCATCACCGTTATTACAGAGGGTTGGAATTCCTAGCCTCAGCAGTCAGGCAACGAAAAAAAATTAAAGGCATCCAAATCGGCAAGGAGGAAGTCAAAATTTCACTCTTTGTAGACACCATGGTAATCTCTGTGGAAAAACCAAAAGACTCCATCAAAAAACTGTTAGAACTTATACATGAAGTCAGCAAGGTTGAAGGATATAAAATCAACGTACAGAAATCAGTTGCATTGCTATACACCAACAAGGAAGCAGCAGAAAGCGAAATCAAGGAATTGATCCCACTTAAACTTGCACCAAAAAAGATAAAATACCTAGGGATAAACCTAACCAAAGGGGTGAAAAATGGATACACTGAAAACTACAGAAAACGTAGGAAAGAAACTGAAAAGACACAAGAAAATGGAAAACCATCCCATGCAGTGGAAGAACAAGTTAACAGTTGTTAAAATGTCAATAATACTCAAAGCAATCTACACGTTCAGTGCAATCCTTATCAAAATGACACCAGCATTCTTCACAAAGCTGGAACAAACAATCATAAAATTTGTATGGAACCAGAAGAGACTCTAAATAGCCAAAGAAATCTTGAAAGAGAAAACCAAAGCCAGAGGCATCACAATTCTGGATTTCTAGCTGCATTACAAAGCTGTAATCATCAAGACACTATGGTACTGGCCCAAGAACAGAATAGAGAACGGAACAGATTAGAGAACTCAGAAGGGGACCCACAGACGTATGGCCAACTAATCTTTGACAAAGCAGGAAAGAATATCCAATGGAATGAAGACAGTCTCTTCAGCAAGTGGTGCTGGGAAAACTGGACAGTGACATGCAGAAGAATGAACCTGCACCACTTTCTTACACCGTACACAAAAATCACCTCAAAATGCATGAAAGACCTAATGTAAGACAGGAAGCCATCAAAATCCTCAAGGGGAAAGCAGGCAAAAACCTCTTTGATCTTGGCCGCAGCAACTTCTTACTCAACACGTCTCTGGAGGCAAGGGAAACAAAAGCAAAAACGAACTATTGGGACATCATCAAGGTAAACACTTTTGAACGGCGAGGGAAACAAGCAATCAGCAAAACTAAAAGGCAACTGACAGAATGGTAAAAGATACTTAGAAAAGACATATCACATAAAAAGGTGAGTATCCAACACCTATAAAAACTTACAAAGTGCAACACCTAACAAACAAATAATGCAATGAAGACATGGGCAAAAGACAGGAATAGACGCTTTTGTAAAGAAGATATCCAGATGGCTAACAGAAAGAAAAAAAGATGCTCAACATTACTCATCATCAGAGAAATACAAATCCAAACCACAAGGAGATACCACCTCACACCTGTCAGAATGGCTAAAACTAACAACTCAGGCAACAAGTGATGTTGGTGAGCATGCATAGAAAAGGAACCCTTTTGCACTGCTGGTGGAAATGCAAACTGGTGCACCCACTCTGGAAAACAGTACGAAGGATCCTAAAAAAAATAAATTAAAAACAGAACCACCCTATGACGCAGCAATTGCACTACTAGGTATTTATCCAAAGGCAACAGGACTGCTGATTCAAAGGGTCACCAACACCTCAATGTTCATAGCTGCATTATCAACAATAGGCAAAGTATGAAAAGATCCCAAATATCCACCGACTGATGAATGGATAAAGAAGATGTGGTATATATACACAATGGAATATTATTCCGTGATCAGAAAGAATGAAATCTTGCCATTTGCAACAAAGTGGTTGGAAGTACAGTGTATTATGCTAAGTCAAAGAAGACAAAGACAAATATCACATGATTTCAGTCATATGCAGAATTTATGAAACAAAACAGATGAACAGAAGGGAAGGAAAGAAAAATAATATTAAAACAGAGAGGGAGACAAAGTGTAAGAAGCTCTTAAATACAGACGGAAAAAAGGAGGGTTGCAGGTTGGGTGTTGAGTGAGAAGATGGGCTAAATGAGTGAAGGGAATTAAGGAGGACACTTATTGGGATGAGCACTAGGTGCTATATGTAAGTGATGAATCACTAAGTTCTATTCCTGAAATTAAAAAAAAAAATATGATGTGTAATGTTTCAAAATTTGAAAAAAATTCAAATCAACAACTCCATACCTTTTAAAACATTATTAGTAATAAGAAATACATTCTACATTGCAACCTAGTACATAGATACAGAGCAAAGAAAAGTTAACAAATATTTATTCTAGCAAACAATGCATTCTGATAGTTTTCATTCTGCTTCGTTTGTTTACAGTGCCATGGGCAACCTATGGAAATGTCCAGCAATAGGGAAGTCAAGATAGCTAATGTGATATAATTTAAAAAGAAGATGCAGGTCTTTTATTTGTCACATAAAAATATCACAACAATTTCTTACCAAGGGAAAAGCAGAGGGTATGAATGAATATACATATTATCCTATTTGCTGAAAAACAGTTTGAAAGGAAACATAGGCCACAGGGATTAACACTTTCTTCTTTTCTTTTGTAACCAGTTGCAGCTTTTCTGAATGTTACAATCAGGACATAAAGCTATACAGCTACTATTGACTGAGCATTCACTGTGCGTGCCAGGCCCTGGACTCAAAGATTTACATGTTTTATTATTTCATTTAATCCCCTTCAAACCTCAGATCATGTAACCATCCATCTTACGGAGCAGAAATGGAGGCTCTGAGACTCCAAGTAATTGCCTGCGGTAGGGGTTAATAAAAGGATGGAGCTGGAACTCAAATTCACGTGTATCTGACAACAGACATCATGCTTCCAATGTTAGGCTGTGCTGCCTGCCTCATAGAGAGGAGAACGGAGGATGCATCCCAGTTAGGATGGGCTAGATGCTATTGTGTGTAACAAATGGCCCCGAAGTCTTAACGGCTTGTAATAACGGAAATCTTTTCCTTGCTCAAGCCACATGTCCACCATGGTCCTCCTGGGACCAGGATAAAAGAGCACCCACCATAGGTAACTACCAGGTGCCATAAGAGATGGACAGAGAGGTGGCCAGACACAGCTGTTCCCAACTGTTGTGTTCAAGGTGGCACTCTTCGCTCCCACTCACGTTTCACTGGTCACAGCACGTCACAGGGCTGCATCCAGCTTACCGGGTCACGGGACAATGTGACATTCTTTGTGGAGCCTAGTGAGGCCACCACATGGTACCAACCTGTCTGGGGGACTGGGCAGGGACAAAGGCGACGCACGGGTCATTGGTAGGAAATGACAACAGGACTCATTCAGGATGGGTTTGCTTCATCCTCAACCAGGTGAAATTTGTCCCAGAGTTGCCCAAAAACATCACTGGTAAGATTAAAGTAGTGAACTTTGGAAAAAGGAGGTTGGTCACATGTAATCAGCAAAACACCCAGAAACCACTCTGTGATCTTGACCAAATCCCTGACTGCCTCAGTTTCCCCACTATGGAGAGGATGAGGACGGAGGGATGGGCATTGTTTTGTAAGAGCATCAGGAGTGCCCACGGTCCAGCATTTCTGTTCTTTTACATTAATATCAGTTATTCTCCTTCCTCCAAATCCCTGGGTGAATGCTCCAAATGCGGCCTGCGTAAGAAAACACTGACCTCGGCCTCCAAGGTGACCTCGTGTTGTGCTTTTATCCTAACAATGAACTGGCCCTAAATGCTGTCCCTCCATAATTCTCCCCAAGTCCCATCAGAGAAGATTCCAGGGCTGAATTCCCCCTCCTTGTTCCAGGGGCCCTGGGTGACTCCTTATGCCCGTTCAATAACTAGGACACAGAGGTCATGGGGGACACTCCTGTGGCCCCAGGTGCCCATCCCTGCCTGGCTTGCCCATGCCCTGCTGGAGGGTGATGCCGGGGCAAGAGACAGTGAGGTGGCTGGG